CTCCTCCCTTCCTAAGTTCTCACCATAACACAGCCACCACTACCACACAATTCTGAACGAGCCATGAGACAGCTTTTCCAAAATGTCAGATGGATGTTGTCCACTTGGTGAGGATCAGAGTAGAGGTTTTGCATAGTGCTTAGCTCAGGAGAACCTGCTTCAGCTTCCCCATTTGCCGCAGGCATGATGCTGCAGATTTGGGCAAATCCTTGTTTGCATATATTCAACCCTTTGAACTGTAAGATGAAGTTTGTCCTACCTCTAAGCCATGATCTGGCAGTTGAGAAATGCACTATAGCATCTAATAACACCACAGTCCTCAAAGGAACAGGCTGAAGCGAATTTATATTTCCAGACTGCTGCAGCCCACGGTATTTATTACTAGGAGAAGAAAATGTTGGCAAAAAGTATTTCCAGGGACCACAGGATTAGCTCATCCATGTGGATACAAACCACACAACTTCTCTTCAGAATACTATAACTTGGAAGATTAATGTGCTCTATAATGAAGAAACAGAGGCACGGGTTAAACAGAAAACATCAGCAATCCTCAGCAAATTACTAGCTTGAGTACTACCACTAACCCGCTCCTCTTACCCCCAACCTCCAGGGAATTCAGAGCATGACAGATTCTCGAGTGAGCTGCTCTGTCAAAGGAGATCGATTGGAAGTACAATTAGCTACGTGGTCACAACCATCCAAGTTAAAAAAAAAAAAATCATCAGTTTCTGGTGCTGATAAAATATTAGAGATAGGATAAAATGCCAATTTTTAGAAGTTTGAAGTTTTCTTGAAGTTCTCCAGCTGCCTCCTGACGGAATTCAAGATCTAGCAGTGTCAACGACTGCTGATAACCAAGGCTTGTGGCTATCTCTGTCGCAGTGACACGCAACAGCGTTTTAAGCCACTGTATATATACACTATATATTCTGGCAGGTAGCGACTAGTACAATGTTCAGAAGTCAGACATGTGAAGCCAGAATTATAAACAAGTAATGAAAGGAAGACAGAGAGCAAAATAAGTATTATAGAGATTACGAAGGACTAAGGGGGGGATAAAAGAATGGGCATAATTTAGGAAAAAAATTAAAAATGCCTTTTGCATTGCTGTAAGTGGAAAAATTAAAAAAAGAAAATGCTAAAGACATTTTGTACTTATAGTATACACTTTCAGTAACTGCAATGTTTATTTATATAAAACATCCTATATAATGACAAGAGTCTGCAGTATCTCATAAAACAGATCAACTGGTGAGAAATATTAGAGCTAACAGCTTGTCTGTGAGTTGCAATTTATTACCTTTCCTCCAACACTTAAAAGCATGAGGATGTTTATGGAAGATGGAACAGAAGTGTGGTAGATTTGTTCTTTACCCTGCACTGTTATTAAGATCAAAATCTTCATTATAAGCAAATGAGAAGCTGAAACAGTAGTGAATTCCTGTGATGAGGGGATTTTACATGACAAGTTACAAGTTGCTTAAACTGACCCAACGTGCATTATGTTTGGGTTATGGGCATGGATATATATATACAAATATACATACGCTGATTTAAGCAGCATACTCCACACAATCAAGCAGGACTCAAATGTGTTTCCTATTAAACAAACGTGGGTGGTCTGCCTCTCCATCTTAAGCAGTGTTGTGTCAATGACTTTCGTAAAGCAACACAGTGCTTAACTCTATTTGAACAGCTTTCTGAAGAGGACGGAGCTGTATTTCATTCTTCTGTCAAAGTGTATTAACATCTCTTTCAGCTAGTAAAATAGAGATGGTACCGTCCTTACTGGAAGCAATATTACAATACAACAGAAATAACAAGCTTCCGTTACCAATTTCTTTATATTCTGTGATTTTAAATGCATTCGAAAAAATGTTAGTTGTGCCACATGAAACAGAACATGCATCATTTACTTTGTAATTAAAAATAAGACTTTGTCATGAGATATTTTCAGATAATACTTTTGTCCTATGCTATTTAAATAACGGGGGTTTATTCTGGATGAAATAAATGTTAACTCATGAACTGAAGTCTGCAAAAATTCACTCTACAAAGTAGTCCTGGAAGCAGACAGGAAAATTCAGCAGAATAGTACTAACTTGGCTATAACCCTACTCATACATCTTTCCGTCCTTTACCACAGTGCCCTCTCCTTTTGGGTACTAGTCTTTTTATTTTTTTCCCATAAAAAAAAAAAAAAACATGTCCCTATCATGAGAGTTATTTCAATATTCCTAAATACTTCCCTGAGCAACAGAGCATATGGAGCCAACAGAGGATCTCTGGTGCCCAATAACACAACAGAACCATGGGCACAGCTTTCCCTAACTGATTACTGAACGTATATCTCTTTCCCCCACCCAACTACTCATTTTGCATTTAATTTCTAGATACCGAGTTTCTCTCCTCTCGTCGAATTTGGCCAAAACTGACAGATATGTTAAAAAATGATGAGGGAGAGCCTGCAAAATAAATAAATGCAGATGCAAGAGGCCTTCACAGAAATGATGCACGAACAGCAAAGTTACACAGGGAATAACTAACATCATTTTATTTTCATTTTATTATTTATATTTTAAAAAATAAGGACGGGTGATTGTTTTTTTTTCAGACTCATTTGTGGAGATTGCTATAAAATCTCAAAAGGGCTAAACCTGTATTTTCTGCTATACAATGAAAAAAAAACGCTGATGTTCTTATATTTCACCAGAAAATGTCTACATTTTTAGTAGGGCTAAAATAATGAGCTACTTAATGACATATAGTGTGTTTAAGTCATTTTGGTTTCTTGCCTAAAAACTTTCAATACCACTACCACCCCACAAGCAAATTTATACCACAAATGAAAACTTCTACTTCAAAAGATAAACTTTCATCTCTCCTGCGGTAAACCCTACGCAGTACATCAAGGATTTTTCATAAACATACTTCTCTTCATTCTCTTAGCTTGTGAATATTATTCAAAATATTTTCTATTAAATATAGATTTGGGTTGGTGTTTTCCTTCTAGAAAAAGAAAAGAACAAATACCTTCCCACTGACAAACTTAAAGAAACCTGAAACAAAAGAAAAAAATCCTTTACATTGGTTTGTGCTTTGCTAGCTATGATTGGCAAAGGCAAGGCTGATGACATTAGATTCTTATTTCAGCTTATAATTAAATTGCTACTTTGATGCAACTTAAGCTAAATTTATTTAAGTTTAAAATAATGCAAAGTATGACTGCTCAGTGCAAAAGGAAACCACATTGTTAGGACAACAACATAATTTAGTTCCCATTCTAGTGCTGCACTTGGTTTTTGGTACAATTTATGGAGGAATGATCACCAATAAAAACCAGATGGTCCGGGGACTGATAAAGCAAAGCGGACACAACATGGCAGGGCTCCTCTCGCTACCTCTCTGACAAATGTTAAAGGATAAAATCGTGGCACAGAGTTCTGCCACTGAACTGAGCACCTCCTTGACAGTCACGAGGCATCCACTTGCATGGCAGCAAATTCCTAACAGGGCTTCTGCAACCAAGTGTTATTTTAACTTAATTAGTTGGAGTGGTAACATAATACACATACGTTACTACAGCCTGGTCTTCTGCTGCAGGTATGTAACGACAAAAACTGGCCTAATGCAGCAGACTGCATGGCTTACTACCTGTTAGTAGTGTCCCTGAGATAGTCAGCAAACCACCAGAAATGAAAACAGGTCAATAGGACTATTTCTTCAGCTCAGTTCAGTGTAAAGAAAGCAGAGCAGTATCATCATCAAATATTCTTCCATGTAGCTATCAAACGCATTGCCCTAACAGAAGCACAAAAACAAAGCATCAGATTCTTCAAACACCAATCAAAATAAGCTCTCTGGCTATGTTCTTAAGCCTTAATTGGCATTTCAAATTGGCAATTGCATACAAAACACTTCAGTATAACAAATTATTCCCTCTCTACTAATCCACTGGTGACCTACATAAGATGTGACTATAAAGAGCAAGATTTACTGCCATATAAAAATCTAGTTCAAGTAGTAACGTTGGTCATTTTTAGACACTCTCAATTCTACGCTAACATTTCAAGTTCTGTTTCCTCTACACAGCACGCATAATAAAGGTTTCACACAAGCTGAAGATTTGTGTCAGATACTTGGATGTCTGGGAGGCCTTAGCTTACCTCCTGTGCTGTGAAATATTTACACCATAACACAGGGAAGGGACTTGGCTGTCCTCATTAATGTATTCACTGAGTAATCCCCTACATCAGAGCGAGATGCACACATCCAGATTCTTCTTCACTCCTAACTAGGGGCTATGCCTACCATATTCTATATGCAAAACACATTTAATTCCTTTCAAATTGCCAAAAATTGCATCTGCAATGTAAGTAATATCTGTTCATTACTGCATAATAGCTTTAATAAGCAAAAAACTCAAGCACGCTGGAACTACATTAGCACTGTGTGCTATCAACATGCACTATCAATTAGCACTGTGTGCTAATGTTGTTATGAATCCGCAGACTATGATACTTAATCTCTCCTTTAGAAGAGACTGCAAATTTCCTCCATCTCAACGTCAGCAAGTGTTCTGAAATAATACATAGAAATTAAAAGAAACTGAGATGCAGGACCATATTATTTTGAATACTCGAGCAATATTTAAAAATAATATAATTGTGTGTTTGTTTTTTTTTTCTTTTAAGACCTGTTCCATTTTAGCCAAAGTCATATTTGTCAGCTAGATTATTTGCTACACTTGGTGTGCTTGCAGCTGGTAGTTGCAAATAAATCTGAATTCAGATTTCAAGATCGAGGAATGTCTGGCCCACACCAAGCTAAAATAAAGCAGTCCATTAGGACTCCTTCATAAATAAAAGCTAAAAAAACATCTGTTTGGCAACAGCGACAACAATACATGTCCCATTCTCACAAATCGTAGCGTAACTGCAAGTGGCCAAGTTTGTCTTACCTATGCAGAATAAAGTCAGAAGTTTCAGTATTATACTCACAGCGAATTCCGTAAATCATGAGAGGATCAAGCTGCTTCTTCCCATGCTTCCCCTGGCCCGAAAGGTTGGAGATGGCCTGGATTTCCCGATGGAAGAGGTAATCGAGCAACGTCAGTGCCATCTTCTCGGCTGTGCGGCAGTTCGTGCTGATGTGCAGCATGTCAGCAGGGGTGATGGGGCAGCGGACCCGCATCTCAGGATTATTTTCATCTCCGAGCCATGTCCCGTTGGGGTAATCCTCTAGAAACAGAGATTGTGGAAATTCTAATTGTGGCACAGAATGAAACAGTCAAGTTCAAGTCAACATTTTTTAAGTTATCATGAACTCTTTCGATTTTCTTCATAGTCAGCACAAGCTTCTTTCAAATCTACAACGACTGATAGGCTCACAAGATTAGCTGTGGGTAAAAAGTTATTTTCAAATCCACATCAACAGTGACCAAAAGCAATTGCCGTTAACATTCTGGCCTACAGAAGGAACTGGTGCAATTAGCCCCAATGTCTAACTCGCTCTCAGATATCTTTTTAAAGTGTCTCATATTAGAAGCTAGCAGCTAAAGGAGCACGTTGTATTCACAATGTTCTCATTCTTTAACAAGTTAGTCATCTCCTAAATCTGAAGATTACCGTAACCCATAACATTCTCAAAGTATAGCTAATTTCAACAAGCTCGAAGCTTTGAACCACATTTCTCCCCAAAAGTATCAGATAGAAGTCAGCTTAACCGAGATTAGAAATTAAAGACGTTACAATCAATGGCGTGCAGTAACTTTTTTGATCACTTACAAAAAGAGTATTTTAAGCTAAAGCAATCATTCAAAACACAGCCAGAGATCCCAATCACAATTTTGTTTTTCATTTAAATTTACTGGCCAGTAGTCTATATTATTTCCAAAACACACAGCTTACCATGGAACAGTCCCAGCGTAAAGATAATGAATCAATCACTAGTCATCTCCCAAGTGCATCTTTCCTTCTAGTCAACGATGAGATCATTAGCAGCACAATATATTTAATTTTTACTCACTGCCAGAACTACACTTCTCTCTGGGTGTACACACATACACACTTATCTATATATATCTCTCCAGAAGATTTTTGAGTTTGCCCCAGTGACTCAGTTTGGGGCGGGGGGGGAATCTATTTATTTCCTGAGAAATAAACTTACTAATTTTTGGTGGCAATGCCAAAAGTTAGTGGATTCAAGACTAACCAGGAACTAGAACAGAGCTCAGTAAAGATAATCCATCACTAATGGAGTGCAGGATGCAACACACAACACAGGATGATACGCTTATTCCAAATAAAAGCAGAATTTTCCATACAAATCTTGACAATGCTAATAGGAACTGGGAAGAACAACATCCAGGATGCTATTTCAGTGTTCACTGACACAGACCATTTGGATTTGATTTCTACGTTTGCTCTTTGTGGAGTAAAACACAAAACTTCCCAACTTCGGAGTCACTCAGTCCTTCCACACCAGAGCTTTATAGAATTTTCTTGCCATTTCACTACCTTTAGAATGGTAAAAATGTGAAAAGAAAAAAAAACCACACACACACACATTCAATTCCATGACTAACCTCTCACAAAATGGCTTTAAAGTGGAGTTTTAGGGGTATATATGTCTCAAGTTCCCATTTTCCATAACCTTTCTAGCCACATAGAAGCGACACAATTCCAACAGATGAGCTCTTTCCATACTGAACAGGACTCCCAAGTAATCAGCATCTTGGTTTCCAAGAGCATGGAAAAGTTAAGCAGCCTACATTTTACTAGACTACAAGCCAAAAATATGCAGTAACAGATAACGTAAAAGCAACTCAAACACGAGGAACACTTTTTCAACATGACCTTCAGGTGGGGTCATACCACATGTCAGATGCAAGTTTATTGCAATGAATAATGACAGCATGAAGCAAATGTTGGATTATGCAATACCAACATAGCATTGAAAATAACATTGTCAACTACAATAATGTGTAAGAAAAAAACATTTATCACTGATACATGTAGCAGCTAGTCCCTCAAACTTTTTTGTTGTTGAAATCAGGACTTAATGCTGTTCTGAATAGATTTTTATACATTTGTACTTTTATATATACGTGTGCGTATATGTATATAAAAACCTTGTGCCACCCTTTTTATTCTCATCTATGTGATAGGGCACACTAGTGGTTTTCTGTTCACAGTACCAGGTGCCATCTAAAAAAAAAGGTGGTTCCCATTAATTACGATTTGTTTTGAATGCCACTGTCTGGCCTCACCACAAGTCTGGTTAACATTATCAGGGAAAATAACATTCTGTTCCTGAAGACAAATTGACCGTTTGATAAAAATTTGGACAGAGCTGACAAGCAAAGATGTCACTGGTTAGAAGTGAAAGTTTTTCCAAAAAAAAATAATCTGGGAAGCCTGCATAAAAGATTATACTTGCCATCAAAATCTTATTACCTTACCAATTCACACACTTCCTATTAGATATAAGCTAGTAATACTTATGGAACATTTTTATCTGCTATTGTGTTTAATGAATGCTATCAACCTACATGAACCAAAGATTTTGCTAAATAAATCAGTGGGGTTTTATTGTTTTGTTGTGTTTTTTACTGGCGCCAAGTTCAGAACATACTGTTTTTACCACATGCAACCATCCTTTTTTTTTTTTGCTAGCAGCCTGGAAAAAAAGACACTATCTTGGTATTCTGACCTATGAACCCAAGCTCCATGTGAAATTCTCTCCTGTATTTCAGTCCTGCTTCAAAAGCCTCACCTGAAAGCTCCCTTTTGTGTCTATATCCTGAAGCAGAAATACAAGTAATCTTTAAAAAAAAAAAAAAAAAACAGCTTGTGTGAAATTACCAGCGGTCTTTACACATATCTAGTCAATTTTTACTCCAATTCTTTAATTCATTACAAACTAAACCAGTTTGAATGCAATGTTAATTCATTTCCCTATGTTAGAGTGCAGTCTAGTTCTAAATGAAATTCTTCCTGTCAAACTGACCTGTGAAACAATAGCAAAATGCTGATGGTAAAGACATGATTCAGAAGAGCATGGTAACCTAACAAAAGATTCTGACTACTACGTGTATGCACACAGTCTTCTCCCCACCTCTCTCCTTCATATACATTTTAGGTGACATATAAAAATACGTAAGTAACCATCACCCAAGCCTTAAAAGCTGAGATTCAGACTGCTTTACAATCTTTTTTTCCTAGGGAACTTGCATGTAAAGTTAAACTTTGTTCTGCTTTCTCACTGCAGCTACCTGAGGGCACAAAAGCTAAAATACTCCTTACCACATAAGATTATTTTATTCATACTGAGCTGCCAATACATCTGGCACTTTGCATACAGCAAATACGATGATATTGACACCAAAAATAATGGTGAGAAGAAGAAGTACAGAGACAGTTATGAAGGAGGCAGAACTGCAATGTCATTTGAAGTTTCTAGCACTCAAACCTCCTTTTATGTCTACTATCACGATTCTTTACGTGAATTATCAGGCATTATATATAGTATCTAGATAGAACCTAGACAAGTCAGGTTATTTAGTACATGCGTTGTAATAGTCAGATGCTAAGTGAGGACTCCACAAGGCACTGTACAACCACACACAGCAGTACAGCTGCTTCTACTCTTTAGAGACTACCGAGAGACAAATAACATATGAAGGGCTGGGGAGGAAGAATACAATCAAAGAATACACTTTTCTGAAAAATCATCACATGTTCATCTGCACACCAGTGTAAACACACCCCTTTTTGTTTTGCCCTGCAGGATTTTTCTTTCATTTATTTTCCTAATGGCCTCATTATCCCACTTAATCTCTGGAAAGGAGCTACACTTTGTGCCTATGTGCTTGGAGGAAAGGTACCTCCCTGCATTTCTGTATGTCACATATTGTACCATCCGAGAAGTGGCTCTTGATCATTTCTACTTCAAGTGTTAAAAGTCCTGATGTTTCTATCTGATTTGCTCTCTGTTCTCAGAAACTCATTTCAATGACAGACAATCTAAGTTTCTAACTCCTTTTCACTGTTTTTCCAAGATCTGAAAATTTGCCTTTATCTCCATTCTGCCAAATCCAGACTAGTTTGCTTTTCAATGCCATTTTCAAATTATTTTTTTTTACCGTATTAAGTCCATTTCTTTTATCTCACAAAACAGCTGACCATTCCTGTAGTTTCAGCAAGCACTTGCGAGGAGATGAGAGGGAGGAGGCTGGGGCTGCTACGCAAAGAAGCACCATTACGGAAACAGTACAATGGAGCTTTAAGGTTAATATCAAAAACCCTATATCCAAAGAACAATAGCCAGACAAGAGTTACTGTGGATTTCAGGCTTGCTTTTGATGCATGTGTGTGTTTTCCCACGTCAGGAGGTGGCAGACCTTTCACTGTTGCTCACGCCTTTCCACTGGGACACATTTCCCTAGTCCGACACAGGAGCACCAGCAGTAAGACAAGAAGCAAAGCTAGGCTCCCTCCACTCACTAGGTGTTGTCAATCATTCCTTTAAAACAAAGAAAGACAAAATAAAACACCTGCCCACATAAATATTTGAATTAACACGTTCCATTCTTCGGTGTAGCTGTGTTTATTTGACTAGCAAGGCTGGGTGCAAGCCTCGCATCTGCAGCAGAGAAAAAATGACTCTGCTGCAGTAGAAAGGCAGAAAAATGATTTAACCTCAAAACAAAAATAAATCCCTGTTTCTAGAGAAATTAAGTAATATTTTGGCTGATGTGCAGGAGATTCAGCATCTTTTTAAATAAACTTTTGTCAATTAGACTGAGTCATTTGCCCCTGCAAGAGTTCATGGGGTAGTGATTAACGGAGAGAACACGGCACACGGACTTTATTAACTAACAACCATTAAATAGTTAAAAGCAGGTTTAAGCAACAGAATGACAATCTTGCTATATGGTAACATCCAAAGCTGGCTCTGTGACTTACAGCTTGTATTAAAAAAAAGGTAAAAGAGCTAACTTTAAGGCTATGTTCACTAAAATCTCAGCACAAAGATCGGCTGAGACACCAGTCGAGAGAAAAATAGGAGATAAACTTACTGTATAGTTCATGGAAGGCCAGAGAATTTATTTAACAAGTAGAAAGTAAGGACTATGTGATCACCTGTCCTTTAAAATGACCAGCTAAAAAAATGCGATAAAATTGAGGAAATTAAAACCCATGGATTTAGAATTTGCTTTTTAAACACTTAGAGAAAG